GTCCTTTGAAGATTTGAATGTAATGCTTAAAGCTTCTACTGACAATTCTGAAACGCTTGTGTCTACCCTGAAAAGTGAAGTAGATAGCGTGAAAGCTGAGCTGAAGAGTACTCAAGATGATCTGAGTGTGATGAGTAATGACCTACTGTCAAACAAGGACACTTTCAAAAAATCACAGTCTGAGTTCATTGCAGAGAAAAAACATTTATGCAGTCAGCTGAGCGAAACACAAGAAAATTACAGCATTGCGACTGATAAGCTGAGGGAGCTTGAGATGGAGCATACAAGCACCCTGAATGAGTTACAACGTATCAAAGGAGAAATTGCTGAATTGTGTGAAAAGAAAAGTGCTATGGAAACTGACATGACAGCCCTGACAACTGAGGTGGGAAATCTTAAAATTATGGTCAATGAAAGTGAGAATAAGGTCCGTGACTTGGAAGAAATTCTTAAGCACAAAGAAAAGGATGTGGAAGACCTTAAATCTGAGTTGGTGAATGTGCAGGATGAATCTTCTAAATGTCAAAAAAATCTCCTATCAAATGTACAAAAGAAAGATCAAGCAGTTACTTGCCTAGAAGAAGAATTGAAGAAGACGAGGGATGAAGTGGAATTGACACAGTGCGAATTGAATGATCTGAAAAAGACATTAGCTGAAAAAGAGCAGGACTTCCAAGAAGAAGAGAAAAAACACAAAGGAACAGTCAACTCAATGCAAGAGAATATAGAAGTTATGCAGGAGAATTTGAAAACTGTGAATCAGGAATTACTGGAAGAGAAGCACAAAGTCACCAGTCTTCAGGAAGAGATTACTATGCTGCAGTCACAAATGACTGAAATGAAGGAGTATACGGAAATAAGGGCAAAGCAGAGTCAGAAAGAAGAAGCTCAATTACAGCTTGATCTTGATGTCCGAATGGATGAAGTTGATGATTATCAAAAGCAGTTAGCAGCTAAAAATGAGTCACTGCTTGCACTTGAGAAAGACCTTGTACTGTCAAAGGAAAAAGTCTCCGAATTGGAGAAGGTTATCTCTGATCATGCTGAACAGATGACTAAGATTATTGAAAGGCACCAAGTAGACACTAACAGACTCGAAGAAGAGCTACTGCATCATAAACATCAAGTGGAGTGCTTTGAGCAGCAGATCAAAGAGTTGGAGAGTACCTCTTCAAATGACAAATCATTGTTACAGCAGCAGTTACTTGATGAAAGTCAAAGATTCAAGCACTTGACAGAAAAATATGAAAATGAAATGAAGATAATGAAGCTTGAAAATGAGACGTATAAATCAGAGCATGAACATATTGTGAGTTTAGTCGAGGAGAAGGCACGGCATCTATCAGAAGATTTGGAAAAGGCGAAAGGAGATCTTAAAGATGAGATGGACTGTAGAAATCAAGTACAAGCTGTTGATGCCCAACACAATGCTATGATTATAGTATTACAAGATGAAATTGCTGCTTCAAACGAAGCTCTCAAAGACAAAACTAACACCATGCTAGAACTGGAACAACAGCTTGAGGACACAAAGAGCAAGTTGGGCAATGCTGCGACTCATATCGATAAACTGCAGGAGTCGCTCAAGGAACGATATGATGCAATGCAGCACGCTGAGAAGGAATTCAGTGATGCAAGACATGATCTAGAGATGAGAATCAAGGGTCACGAACATGAAATTGAGAATTTAAATAGTGATCTTGAAACAAAGGAAATTGAACTAGAGAAACTTCACAAACTGAAGAGCAGTGTGGAGACTGAACTTGTAACTGTGACGGACAAGAAGAAAGAAGATGATAACATTTTGAGTGTCAGATTAGAAGAGTTGGATGGGGAAGTTACTCAACTGAAAGAAGAAAAGGGCTATGTAACCGATCAGTTAGACTGTCTGAAAGACAAACTGTCAAGAATAGAGTCTGAGAAGAAACAAGCGGAGTATAGAGCACAGTGTGCTGAGGATGAACTAACAGCTACTAAAACTGTTGTTGAAGAAATGAAAATGCATGTAGACCAAATGAATGAGGAAAAACTGAACTTTGAGAAGAAGGTTGTGGAATTGAAGGATGAGGTTAAAAGTTTGAAGGAGCAGCTGCTTGCTGCAGAAGCCCATCTAGAAAAAGTGCAGTTCACTGTTGAACAGTCTGCAGAGAAAGACCAGGAACTCTCAAGCCAAGTTGAGAGCCTTGGGACAGAAAAAACCATACTTGCTGAGAAGCTTGACAGTATGCAAAGGGAGCTTATGGATGCTTCAACATCAAAGAGAGAGTTGATGAATCAGTTGGAATATTTAACAGCTGATTTGGAGAATACACAAGCTGAGAGAGAGCAGCTAGTTGGTAGCGTTGAACACTGGCAGTGCAGTCAACAAGAAATAAGCCAGCAGATTGAAGAATTCAAGCAAGAGAAGGAAAGGCTTGGGGATGAGTTGCAGTCGGTACTGAATCTAAAAGAAGATGCAGAGCAGATGGTCGAAGATTTGCAAGACACTGTCAGAGGGCTTGAGAATGAACGATTGGAATTGCGTGAGAAGGTGAAAAGTCTTGAAGTCACAAATGATGGCTTGAAATGCCAGGTTAAAATTAATGAAGACGCCATTGAGAAGTTGCAAATTGAGAAAAATGAACTTGATAGTAATCTTGACACTATGGAATCCTCTACAAATCTTGTCAGTGTGGAGAAACAAGAACTAGAAGGGCAAGTCAGGGAATCAAATATAGCAAGAGAGAATGCAGAAAAAGAACTGAAAAATGTGCAGACAAATCTGAGCCAGTTGCAGGAAGGAAAGGAAGCCTTAGAAAAAGAACTGAAAATCGTGACTGCAGAGAAAGCTCATTTGGAGGACCGATTTAGTTCAACCCAGCGTGAGTTGCAAGAAATCACAGAAGGGTGTAAACAATTGAAGTCTATCATTGAGACATTTGCAAGTAAAGAGAAACAAGCTAGAGACCAGCAGCTTGCGAATGTGGAATTCATCGAGAGTTTACAAACAGAAAATTCTGAATTGACAGAGCAAGTGAAGTGCAGTGAGAGAGAACTTGCTGAAGTAGAAACACAGAGTAAAAAACTTGCTGCTGAAATAGAAAAGCTTGAACATGAGAATAAAACATTGAGGGACAAAATGGAGGCTTTAGAAACTGAACTCAGTGTACTCGATTCAGAAAAAGGTGATCAAAATAAACAGCTTGAGATGAAAGTTGGGGAAATGGAACATCTTCAAAGTGAAATCAAGAGTCTGTCTCATCAGCTCAACAACACAAGACAAGAGAAAGAAGTGATCGAAGGCCACATGGAAGGCGAGGTTTCGTCTCTCACAACAGAAGTTAGTAACCTGAGTGACGACTTAAAATCTGCCAGCTCGAAGCTCAAGAAATTAGAAGAACGTGAACTGCAGTATCAGCAGAGCAACTGTGCCCTCGAAACAGAAAAGCAGGAACTTGGCGAACAGGTTGCTGCGCTGAATATTCAGAGTAAAATAATACAGGATGAGAAAAATTCATTTGAAGAAGAATTGCAGCAACTTCAGAGAGAATTCCAAGATATTGCCCTGGCAAAAGAAACTCTGGCAAAGGAGCTACAAAAAGTTGAGACCTGTAAGCAAGACTTGATTGAGCAAGTCTTGTCCTTGGAAAGTGAAAAGACTCTTCTCTTATCTGCAAATACTGACATAGGCAAAGAGGCCGAGAGCACAAAGTTTGAAATTGATGAACTGAAATGCATGATTGAGGAGTTGCAAGAGCAACTGAAGGCAGAGACAAACCGAGGAGAGGAACTGCAGGAGGTCCGTGCCATGATGGAAGATGAGAACACAACTTTAAAAAAACAACTGGAAGATGCACTGACAGAGTACAAGAAACTTGAAAAACAACACTCTGATAATGTAGCCACTATTGACAAAGAGAAAGATAGTCTGCAGCGTGAAGTACATCAACTCCAGTCCAAATTAGAGGAATATCAAACTGAAGCTGTAGATGCAAAGGTAGGTGTCACAGGATTTTATTTTCACTGAATCATTCTTTCAGTGAAAGTAGCCAAAATAAACTCCAAGTGAAAATGGTGTAACGGGTACTTTACAGTACTGTCTAATGATAAGGAATAAAGTACATAGCCCCAGACTCCATCATGCTGTCATGTTCAAAGGAGCTGTACTTACACAAACTCTACAAAACAAATGTTTTTAAGTTTTTTTTTGCATCAGAGTTAGTTGTACGGTATTTAAAACATCTTGTTTTTGCTTTATACATGCATTAAACACTATGATGTTTTTCATTGCATTCAAAGTTGTCATTAGATGAAATTACAAGTGAGAAATCTGACGTGGAGAAGACTTTGCAGCAGAAACACAAGGAGCTAATTGATTCCAAAGCTGCACTACAGACTGAGATTGCGAAGTACGAACAAAAACTTGCTGATTTAGAGATCCACAGTAAAGAAGAAATAACCCGCATGCAAGAAAAGGTAATACTGGTTTTATTGATATTAAATGTTGAGTAGCAAGTACCGGGTAGCCTTTGTCTGTTGAGATGAAATCACTGGCAAATATTTGAAAATTGTGCCCTACTAACTGCCATTTGTGCTTTGATAGAGGGTTTTTGTTTTGTTTTTTAAATATTTTATGCAAGGAAGCAGTGTTGATGGTACATGTGCTGCCTCAGAAATATACTCCACTATTGGGACGACATAGGTGTCTGATGAGTTTTCTATCATAATATTATTATGATTATTTAATGCACACTCCTCTAGTGTTCAATGCCAGGTAGAATTAGGTCTACCAATCACGAGTCCAATGTAACCACCACTACACTAGCAGTCTATAATTGTTACATTTTAACTCCCCAGTATGATGCAGAATTAGAGACTTACAAGAATAAAGTGACAAATGTGGAGAAACAGTTAACAGAACAGAAGACTGTGATTGGCGATATCACCACACAAAGGGATGCATTGGTGCTAACTGTCCAGCAAGTTGAAGACAAATTAACCAGCGTTACTGCAGAAAGTGAAAACATGGTAAGAACTATATTACTGTGACTTAAATTAAAGCACCACAATTGTATTTGTTACGCTTGTTGTTCGTAGAATGGGATTCACATCGAAAATTGCTGACTGTAGCACCGATACATGGTCAATCTAGCCTATAGTGTTACATCACAGGTCAATCACATGTTTTCAATAGTCAGAATATCAAAATTAAAAAAACAATAGCATCCTGCATATGCACTATCGTATTCCCTTATATCCAAGCTTTCAGATGATGTATAAGTTGTTATAGTAGCATGCTTAGTATCTTTCAGGGAATGTTCAAATCATAAATCAATTTCTAAATTTATTTTCCTTGTTGCCAAATGTACTGATTCTGAATGGCAAAATTTGGGTGTATCGATATTTAAAATTAGTCCCTGTTCCAAAACAAGATCTAACAGATTGTTTTTTGTTTGTCCATCTGTGCATGCATTCACACCTGTATCTTGGACATGCCTAGACTGATTACGTTTAAACTTCACACATATATCACACATCTAGGTCTGCATATGTACGATTCGTTTCACAATCTGATAAGATGGCAGCCATTTTTGTGCTAAAAAATTATCAAAATCAAGCATTTTTCGTCATTCCAGAACCAGATCTCAGTTATGTATAGATAGATCTAGTTGATACAGACAGACAGACAGACAGTACGGGACATTGATGCACATCATTTTGTTTTACAGATTTGGCTCTAAATGGTCGACTAACGGCCACTTTCTTTTATTGAATACTGCTGTACAATACCAGTAGTATAAACTTTCTTGTTTTGTTTTTTTCACCAGGAGGAAGAAATTAATAGTTTGAAATCCAAATGTGAGCAGCTTAAGTTATCCGAAGAGAAAGCTAAGCAAACCATGAAGAATGTCACCATTAAACTGAAACGGCTTGAAGTTGAAGGGTCACCCAGCCAGCAACACACTCGGGAGATCAAGAAACTTGAAACGCAGTGCTCTAAATTACGAGGGGAACTTGCCGAAGAGAAAACTATGAGAGTTAAAGTAGAAGCAGAATTCAACAAACTTCAGGGGGATCTAAAAACTACAACAGTACCGAATGATGTAGATGATAATAAACTGAAAGCTAAGGTTGAGGCACTACAGAAAGACAAGGCATACCTGCAGGGAAAATTACAATTGGCAATGAATAATGCTAAAAGATTAGAAAAAGACTTGTCATCGATGCGCAGTCATATATCCAAGATTGAAGCCAATAAAAATAACGAAAGTGAAACTGGTGGGGATCGGGAAAAAGTTGAGCATTTGCAAAAGCTGCTGAAAGATATGGACGATAAGTTGGCATCTAAGGAGAAAGAAGCCAGTAGCAGTATGGAGAAGTATTACAATTTGATCAAGAAATTTAAGAAGACTGAAGGTCTGAATGAGAGCTTAAAAACCAGAGTGATGCTACTTGCGCATCAATTGAAATCAACACAGGGACATAAAAGTATGGATTCAATGTCCTGTACAAACAAGAGCGAAAAAGTTGAAAAAACCACAATTAGTAGTCCAATGGTTCCCTGTGAAGTGAGAGTTGAGAAATTGCCAGAATCAACACAGAATTTAACTCCCCAAGACATTAGAAAGACTCGACTATCTACTAAAAGGAGAAGTCTTAGTCGACGCTCACCTGCAGTAGAAACTCAGAAAATGCCTAAAAGGGATACACAAAATGCTGAAGTGGAAAGAAAAACAGAGGAGCCAAGGAGCAGTAAACGTTCAAGGAGTCCGTCTACATCCCAAGAGTCAAAGCGTGCTAAGCATTTCAGTGGAAAAGTGGATGACAATAAAGCTGTTCTAAAACATGTGGAACATAAAAAGCTTGAAATTAAAGACTCAGATGATGTCAATAAAGGTGAGTGTCATAAGAAAAAACATGTATGGGCTGTGAAACTTTTATTTTTATACTGTCTTTTAAAATCACCAAGTGTCATTTGGATAAAAAGCGTAAATCTCGTAACAAGCTGCTATAATTATCACATTGACAAAAACGGGAAATAACCAAAGTTGTGAAATAGTACTGACACACTCTGGAAATCTGAGAAAAAAGTCTTGGATTAAAATCTCATTAATGCTTTTATTTTTTCTACATAGTGTCTGAGAATGGCTGTGATGCTAGCAGTCAAAATCTTCACCAATCAACTGTGTTATCATCCTCATCGCCATTGTTATCTGCAGTTGCATCTAGTACGCAAGCCAAGAAAGTTTCTGCTGATTCACTCACAGTTCCCACCAATCACCACAGACTGAGGAGCCAGGATCATCATCAGCAGTCGTCGGACGTCAAAGTGAAACCACCAGCTCGTAGGGTAACACGCAGTCACAGCTCAGCCAGAATGGCCACCGTAAGTGAATAAACTCATCTACCTCAATCCTGCTATTAAATCAGTCTGATCTTTATAACATTCCCATGTGTAAATTGATTGATTTTTGCAGTATTGCTAGACTGTCAACAGTTCTCTGGCCTAATAAATAGTCACTGATTTTCAAACGCCGTAGGCATGTTAACAAAATGCCAAAGGCATTTCAAGCGGAGGCCGTAAGGCCGAGAAACTGTTATAGCATGTAAACGCCCTCATGCGGCATTACATGGAAATTGCCCGGTGATGTTCGTCTTGAAACTTGTCACTCAAACTACTACTACCTCCTGTTTATTGGTGACCCGTTTCGCTCATATTTGGTTGATCGGTGTATGACGTAGTTTGAGTGACAGGTCTCAGCAGGAACACCACCAGGCAATTTCTACCTAATGAGGGCGTTTACATGCTATAACAATTCTCCCGGGTCTTGCATCCCTTGCTTGAAAAATGCCGTCGGCATTTCATTATAACGCTTACGGCGTTTGAAAATAAGTGACTCTTTATTAGGCCCGAGAACTGTCTACAGTATTGTTTACAGCCAACCAAACTTATTGTTTCAGCCTCAAAGCAACATAGTGTATATCAGCTGTCAGTCAAAATGTCATCAAAACTGAGCTTTGAAAAGAAATACACAAAATAAAATACAGTTTTTAGAAATTAGAAGGTCACATCATAGGATCTATGAGTTACATGTATTAACAATTTGTGATTTGATTAAATTTTAGTTTATTTTACATGTCAACCTCACTGATGTAACTTTTTATACTTAATTTACTGCAAAGAGAGGCGGACCATCAAAAATCAAATCATGCTTAATTTGGTTGCATCTTCATTTGTTTCAGAACCCATCGGTGGAAAGTGCGGCTTTGACAACTGTGACAAACAGTCCCAAGAAGGTTTTAACTGCAGAACCCACAAAGAGAGGTAATCGTATGGGAACTGCACAGCGCTCACTAAGTCTGAAGAAATCACCTGAGCAGAAAGCCTTGCGCAAACAACAAGGGCAAGGCAAAGGCAAAGAAGATTGCAAAGTTCAATAGAAAAATGATTCACCATAATTTATTTTTATTTTGATTTTAAAGATTGGAAATTTTTTTATTTTGATTTTTTTTTATATCCAGAATTTCTAATATTAACCATGCCTGCATGGTCGTCCTTTTCAATTGTTCAAATCATTCTAGCCGTTGATGAATCTCAAGTTAGATATACATGACTTATATTGCAGATAAGTTGCTAATGAACTGTGAAATCTATTATTGATAATCATGCAAATTATCAATAGCATACACTGCCATGATATCCAATACAGCTTGATATTAAGTACATGAATAATCTTTCGCGAGAGAGAGAGAGAGAGAGAGAGCACTTCAGGTGCTACTGTGGTTTAGTCACTTTGTACACACATTACTTTTTTAAAACTTTTCGTACTGATATTTTTGTATTTTGTCTTGAACCTGTCATCTTACTATTTTTGCAATGAATGATAATTATGAGAACAATATGGTTACAAGTATTTGTTGTCATGTTGATGTAAATTTTGAAAATTATTACATTAGTATTTCATTCATTTCTTTTGCATTGTCTTTATTTGTATGTTGTTGAGCTCGGTGTACCGTTGAATCCCTTATACAGTTACAATCAGACCTTTGTCTTCTGGCTTTTAGTAGGGCAAAAGCAAAGTTTGTTTGTCTGGAGCCATTTTGTGGGATTTGAAATTGAGTTTTTGGCCATTACACTGTGTATGTCTGGCCATGCATGTATGCAGTGCAGTAAAACAACCCTCCTTAAGCTGTCAACATATCTGTACCTTTGCTGCCTAAAAAACTTTACCTGGTTTTATGTCTTTAGTATGGTTTGGCAGAGCTCTTCGAAAATTTACCCAAGGATGCATTTGGTCACTAAATTGCACTACTGGAAGATCATTGGTTGTCTGAAAGATACTTTTTTTCTTTCTGATCAATGAACAGAGATTTTGTGAGAGTGGCTCTACAGGATGTTTTGTTTTATGTTTTCCCATTCATTGCCAAGTTCAATCGCTATGTAAATATACCAGTGACTTATATTTTGCTCATGTGGGAAAATTAATGTATACAGAGCAACAAAAACTGAATTATAATTGGTACATGGTCAAATCAATGAAGGAAAGATGTATTCAAGAACTGATGTTGTGCATTTCGAAAAGAGGGAGCATTTAGCACTACATGTGTCAACTGTTGGAAATCTGGATTAGAAACTTGTGATTATCACAATGTGATCATCTTCATAGTAGAGTTACTGTAAAATACTTTGATTTCGCTTGGATTTAGTTTTCGCTGAAGGACTGATTCAGTGAAAATAAAATCCAACGAATATATCTTTTTTCCTATATTTTACATTCAACTCGTCAAAAATGAGTAAAAATAAATTCCATACAAAACACACCTAATTCCAACTTATATAAAATACTGTGGAATACTTTATTTTCGCTGGAATTAATTTTCGCTGAAAAGGCTTTTTGGGCGTTTTGTATGGAATTTATTTTCACTGATTTTTGATGAGTTTAATGTGAAATATAGGAAAAAAAGTATATTCGCTGGATTTTACTTACACGGAATAATCCCTTCAGTGAAAATAAATTATTCTACAGTAATCTGCAGTACTATATTTTAAATGAGTTAATTAGTCCCTGGTTGGGTGCAGTCTAAAATGGGGCATTGTGGAATATGCCATTTATGTGTATGTCTGTTCCGTAACCAGCCATATCTTGCACATGCTTCGACTGATCAAGTTCATAAATAGACAGCTATTGTTCAAATTTGGTGCATACATTGAACATGATGAGACCACAATATTTTTCAGATCAGATTCAAAATGGCCGGATTTTATATTAACAAATGATGTTCCGGAGCATGTCTCTAACTTACCTTAGTTGATTGCAATAAAAACATGGCATGCTTGTAACACATAAAACTTTCATAACCAAAACTATTTTACTATCGTACGAAAAGCAACAACGGTCGAAACGTTTTCCATGAAAATAACTGGGGTCGAAACGTCCTACAATCATATGTGTGTATGTATGTTTCATTGACATCTCGGGAACCACTCATAGGATTTAGCTGAAACTTTGTACACATATGGTTGAAATTCTTGCATATTAATTGCATACTTATTTGTCAAGTTTCAGGCTGTTTTGTGTATATTAATTGCATAATAATTGGCAAATTTTCAGCTTTTCCACTGATATCTCAAAGTACCCTTCAACAGATTTCAATGAATTTTGTTACATATGTGCTCATGGGTATTTTTTGTTGTTGAAATCCATGAATATTTAAGGTTTCCATTGATGTCTCAGAAACGGTACATTTATGGTCTAAGATACTCTAAAGGCATGTTTTGTTTCAGCTCAAAATAAAAGCTGAAATCATAAATTAGATTCCAATGAAAGTGTGTACATATAAGTGTTCTAGAAGGTACCATGGACCTGATTAGTTCCAGGCTGCAATCCATGCAATTTAAATAATTAGCTAAGTGTATGCCATCTATTTGTCAATAGTGTAATTGAAACGGCCTACGAGTAACTGGTTTACCTTATAAACTGGGCTATATCCTGGTTTACCTTATAAATTGGGCTTTATCCTGGTTTACCTTATAAACTGGGCTATATCCTGGTTTACCTTATAAACTGGGCTTTATCCTGGTTTACCTTATAAACTGGGCTATATCCTGGTTTACCTTATAAACTGGGCTTTATCCTGGTTTACCTTATAAACTGGGCTTTATCCTGGTTTACCTTATAAACTGGGCTTTATCCTGGTTTACCTTATAAACTGGGCTTTATCCTGGTTTACCTTATAAACTGGGCTCTATCCTGGTTTACCTTATAAACTGGGCTATATCTTGGTTTACCTTATAAACTGGGCTTTATCCTGTTTACCTTATAAACTGGGCTTACCTTATAAACTGGTTATCACAGCATAACACGCCCTTAAGACTAAAATTGAATCATATAGCCAGTTTTCTTTAACTTATTCATCACATACATCAGTTTGTTCTGGGGAACTTTGGAAACTCCTCTCAGGTGCAGTCTTGCAAAAAAAAAAAAAAAAAAACTTTCTTCCAAACTTTGTGCGTATGTGTTCAGCAAACATGACAAATTTCTTAGATACATATGACATACATTTGGGTAATTACTAGCTATAGCCACGGGCAGTTTGTTTCCTTTCAGCTACCTAGCGCCCTCTATCGGTTATTTGTATGCTATGTCGTCACCTCATTGTTAACTGACTGTGGCTCAAAACTATTTTACCCATCAATTTCCTCCCTCATTGTGTTCTATAAAATTTATTAGTTAATTAACTTATTATAAGATTTCAGTTTAGAGTACTTTAGAGCCTGCTTTCAAGTGCTTTGCAATGAAAAGTCCCTTCTTTACTTCGTACACTGTGTGTGTCTTGTTCAGTTTATTGTAGCAATATAAACAGCACAAGTCTAATATATCTGTTTACTATAAATCAGATTGCTTTTGCATTTCACATCTCAAAAAACATAACTATATATAATATCAGGTGACCGTGTTTTGAGTACTTATTTGGGGACCATCACATTTAATTGGCGATGGACCATTACTCTGAAATAAAAAAAATAGAACATCATGTGTGCTAAAAAAGAATGACAAACTGTCACAACTTGCTGAACGACTAGATGAAATTGTATAGTTGTGAAATATACCATTATACTTAAATTATGATATGACATCATAGATGCTATCTAACAAATTACCTGCATCCAAAGTTGTCCTCAACCTGGTAACTAGTCCTAAATTGTCATTTCATCATTGAAATCGTAATCCCATTAACTTAGCAGAAGTAACTTTTTAGTTTTTTAATTTGTAAAGTTCTGGAGAACCGAGCATTCCCAAATGCGTATCGACACACTAGATTGAAATCATCTTACGATATTCCAGTTGTCATCGAAGCTGATGATAGCTTCTTGTATTTTATGTTTCCTGTTTGCGATAAAACTACAATGAAAATTGTATTACTCTGCTCGTGAAAAATTAAAGTGAAATAGACACACGTGTTGTTTCACACATTGTTAAATATTCAAATCAAATTAAAACTTACGCTATGTTAAGGGATCCCTCATTATTTATCGCCAAGGGGGTCGGTCGTAGGAATCTGAGATGAGGGGAGGTTCAGTAGAAATTTATCCTAATGCAAGATGAATTACAAAAATTATATGTAAAAGGGGACTGAGTCACATTTATATGTGAACACAGAAACCGTAAATATATACGAAGATAGTAAGTAGAACAGAACTAGTATCAACAGATCACGTGTTTATTGCAACATACCATGAACAATATATGACCAACATACCACACATCACTATAAATTACCCAGAATTCTCCATGATTTATACTATTAGACATTGATTTTGCTGAAGCATCATATTGGTTTACTATTTTTTGACCCTATTTCAAAGGAGTCTGCTGTATATGTTTTGCAATGTGTGACCAAAATGTCAAATTATCTCAAAGTCGGGTGAAAGACTCGCATAGAAAAGCTAACACTGATGTGAATCTTTGGTAAATTTAATCACCGACATAAATGCCCATTCGTAGCACCTATTTGCATGTTCGCGGTCCCGGGATTTGGAAATCAAATGTAAACTTATTGAAGATTCAAAATTACAAAGGTGGAATTACCGAAATAATTGACAAAACCAAAACAGATTATGCTGCACAAAACCAGATTTAATTTGGGAATACGAGTTTTTTTCCCATAGCATTCTCTAAATTACACGCACAGCGTAAATGCAAACTACTACCTCATCTTGAATTAAGACTTAATGTCCTCGAAAAATGAATAGATGAGAATCTGGATCCTAGCATTCTTAGTGAATATGAGTAGGTAAAACACAAAACAAAACGTGGTGCGCAAAATAGAGCAGGGTTAAATGGGCCGTAGAGGGCGACAGACCAATCAAATATTTCCTCAGTCTGGAAAAGAAGCGAGAAGGTGAAAACGATATTAAATTGTTAGGTATGCTTATATTATAGAAAAATATACACAACTGAGAATTGCTCGAACGATGAAATAGATATATACTTATATACTTAGATGAAAAGTCCACAACTAACAACGAAAATCAAGCATTACACGAACCCATCTCTTTCATTGAATGTACAATACAATCATTTCAGGAGCCATTCTATTTTTAGATTTTCGGAAAGCTTCCGATACTGTGGAGTGGCCATTCTTATTAAAAGTAATGAAGAGATTCAATTTTGATAGTACATTAAGTAATGGTGCTCGTGTGCTCAATCACGGTTTGCAACGCGGCATTCGACAAGGTTGCCCAATATCGGATTTACCACTCATCTTAGTAGTTGGAATTTTAGCAATTTACATCAGATCTGATAACAGAATAAACGGAATTAATTATAAATTAAGACTCGTAATTGGTCAAAAAAACTGCGAATACCGCAGGTAGCCGATGATACAACACTATTCATCTCTAGCGATATTTCAATATCGGAAGTCCTTAAATTTGTAACTGATTTTGGCAAGGTGTTAATATTAAAAATATTAAAATTCGATGGATAGGACCAATAAGATCCACTCCATACGACAATATTTCATGACCAAAAGACGCAATCAAATTTCTCTCTAAAAAGACCCTTTTTTCGAATTATATTCACAACGGCGTTCATTATAAAAAATGAAGCCATTGAAAATATATTATGTGATGTTCCACTAGCACTCTTTAAGTTAAATACCTAGATACAATCTTCTTTGAATTGTTACAGGGTTTACAAATAGACAAGATCAGACCTATAACTGTTATCGGTAATTATTATAAAAGTTGTATTAGAATGTAAGATATCTTCTTGCAACAAAAATCGTTGCGGGTATCATGGATTACTCGTCTCATTTTGGAAAGTGGTGACGATGATTCACTCTTAGAAATACATTCCTTTTTACTTTCTATGTCAAACACATATCATAAAATCATACACATAAATTTTCAAGAACCAAACTTGACTTGTCTAATCCGCCAGAATTTTACAAATACGCAAATTGAAGCGTGGCATGAAGCTGTTGGAGGTTCTTCTAAAACGAATCCAGCAAAAGAAATTTCCCAGCAGGTAATTTGATGTAATAACCATGTACAATATAAGGGTGGTGTATTACTCTTCAAGTCTTGGATACAACCCCGAATCATGGACATTGAAAACATCTTTGAAAAAGAAGGCCACATCAAAGTCAACACGTATTTGCAAAGATTAAAAGATAAATCAAATATCGTCTTGTAAAAACGTAAAATGCCTTTTTAATTTTCTGTAACCTGTATCAGCTACCCCCCTCGCCAACCCTCTGATATATGTTGACAGCAAGACGCTCGTTTTATAGGTGAAGCTAAACTTAGTAGTAGTAAAGCCATGAAACTGATTTATAGTGATGTCAACGTGATACACGGTACAGTAGATTTTGGTAACGAGTCGTAACAATTTGTGGTTGTATGGGGTTAGAATGGCGCACTGACTTGTAACCTGTTTACATTCAAAGCCTATAGCCAGCATGCCAATACATTCAACACATGCAAATATGATGTTTCAAGTATACAGGTTGGTTTACTTCCTTTTATTTAACAAACAGATGAATACGTTGTTTACCCGACTATATTTTCATATAGCAGCGCGATTTTCAAGTAGCCGACCGATTTTTTCAAGTAGTCGACTGACTTTCATGTAGCGGACTAATTGTATATATGGGCCACCGTATATTTAGCCTTGTGTGGATTCACTTTGATTATGCAATTGTGTCAATATTTCGATAAGATTTGGTAAAACAAAACAAATAAAAAAAATGCTTAGAATAAACACACGGGAGTTTATTCTAAGCTTTTTTTTGGAGACATATTAACAAATAATTAGCCTTCCAAACAAGAAGCTTGGCAACTAATATTTGTCTGCTATTGGAGTTATACAACATGAAAACAATGTGATTCACATTATTGACGTTTGAAATACTAGTACATACAGAAAATACGTTTGATTAAACATGTGTGGTCTTCAGTCCAATATATATATCAGAGCACCTCTACTACAAGTTCAATATAAATCTGTTTTTTTGAGATAACAGAAACTGGCTATTAATAATTAGACAATAATTTTATTAAACTAATCATGTTTGTGGATTACCCTAGAACATCTACGAACCAAATTTCAATGCAATGAGATGATAATGCACAATTGGCATTTTCGGCAATTAGTACGAATTTCAATTCAAAACTAATGCATTGTTCCCAGGCACTTATATACCAAATCCTATTAAAATGCAATAATTGTTTAAACTAATTAGTTGCCTTGTGTGTATTTATTTAAAAAGATTTATTGAAAAAAGATGATATACTTGATATATTGAAAAGCTGAAAACTGACTAATTGTTATGCAATTCATGTAATTAATATGCTCAGATTTACACCCAAACTAAACAGGTATGTCCATGCATCCATGGAGCAAGTTTCATTAAAAATATTGGGATTAATACGATATCAGTGGAATCTATGTACCAATTTTCATCAAAATCCAATGAGTAGTTATTTAGATATCAATGGTACAGCTTAAAATAGCTGACTGTCATGCAAATTACGTAATAAATATGCATGATTTTTAACCCCAAACCTAATCAAATCTGCGCATTAGCTCAGAGCATCTATGCATCAAGTTTCTTAAAAAACAACAACATATAGTTCTTGAGATATCAGGGGGATAGACACTTACACACAAACATACAGACACACTAACTACAGACCCCTATTCAAAAAGTCAAATCAATTACTATTGTCGCTTTAATATCCCTCAATATGCGATTCGTATTTCAATTAAATATTTACTTTGTTGTGCCATGTTGTGCCATGTACAGTCAGTGGAATCGTATAATAAACGAGTCATTCGTATTTGTTTACGCTGATATGAAGAGTTAAGTATTAACTATCGCAGATTTATTACAAACGCCTGTTGTAGCCTGGTTCAACACAGTTTTCAGAACGTCATATTGTAACATACCGTTATTACAACAATATGGCTGCAGGCGCCTTTAACAACAACCTCAATGATGTTGATATATACGATTATAAAGTAGGCGATATGTTGGCATTTCGTCACATAGTGTACGACCACTTTGCTGTATACATTGGCAACGGCAATGTAATCCACCTGACGGGAGAGAGCGAAGTAGTTGGTATCAGTGGCAAAGCACAATATGTATTCTCCGTATCAGGCAAACAATACAACAAGGCTGTCGTGAAGTGCGACAGACTTGAAGACGTCGATGGTAAAGCGAGGATTAAAAATAAAGACGCGAAAAACAAGCCCCCTCTACCACCACGACAGATACTCGCCAGGGCTACGGAGAAATTGGGGCCCATTGAATATAACGTTCTATAGAATAACTGCGAACATTTTTCACAATGGTGTCGATACGGAGAGTCTAAAAGCGACCAGGTATTTAACTAGTCTTTATATTTGTAGCTATTGATATGATATACATTGTAGCATAATTCTACGCACTACGAGCAAAATAAGCTGAAATAAAAAGTGCTGAGTTGTGTGTGTGTGGAGGGGGGGGATTCTTGCTGTGGTTTTTGACATTTGCCGGGACGATTCCAACATACTTTTCAACAACGATGCCACACATTATAACTCATTTTAAAGGACTACACTTTAACTATGGGGGAGGGGGACTGACAAGGTGTCTGGGTCAGCCAGAAATCTTAAAGTTCTTGTCAAAAATATGCTAAACGAATTATATTTGACAAAAAGAAAATCAGAAAATAATAAAATGTTTTATCGTCTGGCACGTTAGCTAATCTACTATTCTTGTAAAATATACACTTCATTTTAATGAGTTTATTTCAACCCAATTTTAGCCCGGCACCTTTTCGCAATGCACTATAAATATTATAAATGTTGCGTTATAGATATACAGATTACATCATCCTGTTCCGCTTTGAACTTTGAACCCCAATATGTGGGCTATATATTGGCTTTTAGCTTGCAAATTACATGTTACCATAGCACGTTTTCCTACATTTATAACCTTGGTAACTATGACCCAGGGTCACCTATAATGACGTACATGTAATGTGCATAAAAGTTCCAATCATTGTTGAAAGACTATCACACATATATAGAAAGACCTGCCAGAAGGCGAATTTCCACTATAGCTACACAATGACAATCGCTTGGTCCACGTGTCAAGAACAACCCCTCCATATTTAAGAAAATGTCATCCATATTATATTTTCTTGCTAAAGATCTTTTACATGTGAATATTTGTTGGTACTTGGAGTTTGAAATTTTAACAATGTTTCGGGTGACATAATCCTTTAAGTCAACTCTTTTACAAGCACCTGCCAGTTCTATATAGTATACAACAGTACTGTACGACGCGACGAAAAATGTTATCCTCTCTAGCAATACCACTGAATGCTCCTTGATCCCGTTGGGTTCTCAGAATAAAGACACTTTTTATGCTTATGAATAACAGGATCGTGTTTGATGTGTATTCCCTATCTGATTTCATAGTTTCATATACATCCATGGGCTCGCTCATAGTCGATTTAGATTTGACACTGGGAAATTGTGACAATTTGTCCACAACCTTTTGAATTATCTTTCTATTCCAATCTTTACGACAATCGGATCTAAATCACTCCCAAAATATAATCGATTGACCCTTGTCCAAAAAGCGAACCCTTCTAAAGATGTGTTATAACGGTTTGAATCATCCTACTCACAAGCAAACCGAAATACCCACAATTCCTGCTCTATGACAGCCGCATGCAGATTTATATCCAAATCTGGTGGGCTTTGCAAGCTTCTAAAAACTCAATGAATTTAGTTCTTTTATAACTTTTTGTATAATCCAGCTCAAAATCAACGCACATATTTTCGTATTCATGGTAACCGGACTCAGGTTCGATTGGTACTGGTCTCAATCCAATGACAATAAAGTTACTTTTAATTATTTATTTATATTCTCCGAACTAACTTCCACTGGTTGCATTGTTTGAGTATTTATATATTTTGTATTTACCATGATAAAAATCCCAGTTCCCTAGATTTCTGAACCATGAACTAAAATTATTTGAGCACAAATATTGATTAATTTAATGTTGTGTCATTTGGCAGCTTTTTCTGACAGAGTTTGTTTTTACCTTGGAACTGTCCAGCTGGGTAAAAGCAATTGATTAAAATGCTAATACATTGACTTCCTTACAGTCGTATTGTTGAACAATTTCATTAAAGTGTTCGTCATTGTGTATGGCCTTTTGTGAATTTCCTGAAAAATAAATTGTGATTTAGCACTTAATGCACCCGTAATTCCATATATTTAGTCAGAATATTCGTACCCGTACTAATGTGAATAACATTCTTCTGTTTTCGTGAACACAGGTGGAAGACCTTTTGATTGGAATTGGAATTGGAGCTCTTGGGATAATAGCTGTCGGTGTAGTTGCTGGAGTTATCTTGAACATGAACGACGACGACGGGGATGACGAGGAGGAGAAGAGAAGGCGGAGGCGAAGGCGAAGGCGAATAAAGCAGAATTATGAATGATATGATGACGAACAAACAAGATGAAAGTGCTTATAACAAACTTAATTGGTGTAAAACTCATAATAGCTGCTAACTAGCAAATAAATCAGGTATATAAGACCGAATACATGGCAAAGTAATTAAAATATTAATTCACAGTAAACATGTACTGCATGTGTGACTTGTGCCCACGCTCGCTCGGCAAAAAATGATGCTTAAAAATGAGCCCATCCAATTCAATGCTGTAGTAGATTTTTCCAATTATGTATAAGTAGATCGGCGTGGCCCATATTTCTAATCAAGATATCATTTATGCTACCTTACAATAAAACAATTTACCATTGATCATGTGCGCGATATCCAATACAATGAGGTTTCGATGTTGTGATACGAGAAAATAGTGTACTTTCAGCTGACTATTATTTGCCACATCATTTGGCGTCCGGCAAGTCAATGATGAACCTTTGCCCTTCTGTGTTGTTAAAATCCTAATATCTTAAAACAACTTCAAGAACTTTTCCTGGCTGATTGAAGAATATTACGTAACGTAATTAAAGCAAATCGCGTTATTGTAATTTTGTAGATCTGAAAAAATATCTTTCTATTTACCAAATCTATAACACATCTTTTCTCACTACTAGATGCATTTAAAGTCATTTTTTGGTCTATCCATAAACCCTGACAAATGCGAAGGCATGTGGCTGGGAAGATGGAAGGATCGATTTGATAAACCAATGAAAATTTCATGGACCAGTTCTGTGAGGATCGTAAGCGTGTTTCTATCTTATGATAAGAAAGCAGCAACAGACCTAAATATAGCTGGACCATTGCAAAGTTTGAAAAAAATGTCTGAACGTCTGGACAATGCGTCATATGTGATATTCCGAAAAATGTCTGAACGTCTGGAAAATGCGTCATATGTGATATTATCAAGGTTCCAGTATATTTTAAATATAGTGGATATCCCAAAACATAATTTAAAACAAGTCAATAAACAGACAAAACAGCAGGACATACCAGCCTGGGTCGTCTAGCAATGTCAGATATTTTCGCAATAAAAAATGTTCAACGTATTAATTGGCTGAGAAGATTCTGTGACAACACTTTCTCTCACCCTAGAAACTATTTTTGTAACGCAAATTACACATGGTAGGGGGAATAGATGTTTTACTGAAATGTCATTATGATTTGAAACTCCTTCCGGTCAAACACTCTCAATTCCTTTACTATATGCTTAAGACATGGATCTCTCTGCGATATGAGCAACAAGAATTATCAATTAATGAATTATCAATTTGGAATAATGCCAAACTTTTGATAGCAGGAGTTTCTTTGATGCTGGTCTAATGTATCTTGGCCTATTGTATAACAATGTCGGTTACTGCAGTGGGAAACAGCAAAACAAAGTATATAAATATTCTTAATCACTGCTTTTTAAAATGGTATGGTATAATTGCCGCGCTCCCGAAAGAATGGAGAGGAACTGTTAACACCTCTAATTTTAGACTACCTCAAAATGAGGAACATCTGTATCTTACATTTTTAGACAAATCTTATCATTTGAATAGATGCAAAAACAAATATATAGCAAAAGAATTGTTTCCAAATATTTCATACCCCTAGATCTGAATTGTACTTTACTAATCTATTGAATGAAGTAATCAATTGTTGGGATAATATATATAGCAGAATATTCATACTAACTATAGACACAAATTTGAGAGAGTTTCAATGGAAACTGGTACATCCTGTACTCCAATGAAAAACTTTACAAATTAAAACCCCCTAGAGCAATGTGAAGCTTTTGTAATGCAGACATTGAGTCGGTCTTTTGTCTCTTCTGTGAGTGCGATTATACTAAAACATTTTTGAACAATTTTAATTATAAACGGGGTATTCATATTGGCCTCAGATTGAGATCATTGTCAAACAAAGATATTCTTTTTGGAAATGAGGATTATTCAATACTACTGAACTTCCTAATAATTTGTGGGACAAAAATATTTATACATGTAGAAGGAAAAAGCAAAATCCTAATTACACACATTTTAAAAATTATATTCAGGAGATACAATACAGTGAATATATTATTGCAAACAAAAATGACAAATTAAACTCGCATAATAGGGGAAGTGGGGTGAATATTTAAAACAGATTGTTTCAAGAAATGAGCATTTTTTTCTGAGCCATAACTCATCTCTGTATACTACTTGTATTTATCATTCCATTATATATTATGTATGTATACCACTTGTACTTATCACTGTCATTTGATACTGCAATAGACAGGTAACATTGATAAGTAAATATTACATGATTCCAAGAAATATAAAAACACACAAAAAACAACAACACACACTTCATTTCTAAACGAGTTAAGAAATAAATGAAAGGTTATATTGCTACCAAGTGCAGAAGGGATATATATATATATATATATATATATATATATATATATATATATATATATATATATATATATATATATATATATATATATATATATATATAGTTTATAATGACTTATGTTAATATGGGAATTGCTCCAAGGAGTAAGGGTTTGTGTCAAGAGCTGAAATTAAAATACATGCCAACTAAATAAGAAGCAAGATAAAAAATAGGCTCAATAGCAGAAACAAGCAAAATATAGTTGCGCACTCAGTTATTTTAGCTATGTAACAGACTGCGTGGGCAAGATGTATTGTGGAGCTGGTCTAACCACGGTATAACAATAGCCATGATTAATACTATCGTGGAGAATTTACCAAAAATGAATAGCCCGTGTATTTTGTCCGAAAGATTTGGTATTCATGGCATGGAAGAAAAATTTAGTCGAGTATATCAAATATCAGTTTTCTTAGTATCGCTCATAAATCTGATTTTAGTGAGTCAGAGGTTTGTAGTACTGAAAGATCCGAATATTCAACATTCATAATTTCTTGATTGTCATGCCTAAATCTTAGGGGAAAAAATACAAACTGAATTTACAGCAAATTCATCGTGGCAAAATACAACAAATTAGTAGTAGCACAAAACTAAGAAAAGGAAAAAAAAATTGCTGTTTTTCATCAACCTATCCGACGTTTCTAATGCCTACCCATTGCAACATAATTTTGAACACGATAATGTGATTTGATCCTGTGATATTGAACGAGTGCCATTGGCAAAAACAATATTGTTCTCCATGGAGCCAAACAAATTCATGATATTACATAGCACGCAAACTTGTCACAGATTGGAAAGATTTTTTTGTTCAAAAGTTAAAAAAAATCAGATCGTGACAGTGAACCTTTTCCCCAATAAAAAAAAGAGTCGAAAAATATTGAATCATCGGACCAAGCCATGAATATAAAGCCAAAATAAGGTCCATGATGGATAATCAAGGCCAACATGGGCATTTACATAATAATATAATAATAGTTTCCATTGGTTGACAGCAATAAAATGTTAGTAATAAAGTACAATACATATAATACTAAAATAAATGTCAGTTATTGTTATTTCTGATTTCAAATATTTTGTGTAAGTATTCACTAACTTGTCTTATTATTATGTATTCTCTTGAACTCATAATATATTTAAATAGCTTGACATCACTTTTAATTATTTCTGTAATATTAATATAATTAAATAACTTTTGTCTTTCTGTTTGGTACCTAGGACATTCGGTGATGAAATGTTCTTCATTTTCAATTTTGATCTGGGAACATTGCTTACAGATTCTGTCTTCAAAAAGAGTTTTGGGTTGGATATGTCTACAGTGCCCTTCTGTATTTCATAACTGCTTATTCTGAAACGAGTCATTATAATTTTCAGATTACGTAAGAGGTATATGTTTTTAAACTTTATATACGTTCTCAGTTGTCTATTATTCTTTATTACACTCAACTCAACATACCTTTGTCGGATATTATTTTGTATGTATTTTACTTTTACTGTTTAGGTGTCACAGACAAGGACACATTTGCAGTATTGCGACGCCCCTCAAGATTTTTTATGAGGGGGCGACCGCCACTCTGCCCCCCGTGCCACCGCCACTGCTGATTGGTAAATACGATACCAGAGTTTTCTGAATATCTATGAGTAATGGAAATTTACGAAAAAGCATTTGGACGTTTGACTTACATCATTTGGACGTTTGACTTACATCAGCTGTACTAAAAATAATAATGCTTTATTCTCCAGCCATCAGCATACGTAACCAGAATAACCTGTCGGGCTTAGCCCCCCCCCC